GAGTGGTGTCCACGAGTGTGCGAGGCAAACTCTCAGGAGCTTCACACTCTTCCCAGCTGCAAGGTCGATGGGTGTCATCAAGGAGAAACCTGCGGAACTGCTTCACCATGGAGAGGAGGGAGTTCCAGTCCTGAAATTTGTGATCAAAAATTTCATACCAAAGGTCAATAAGGCCTGAAGGGCGAATGTGGAGCCAAAAAGGTGTGGTCCAAATTTGTTGCTGAAGACCAATCTCGATAGCGACCTCCATGATGTTGTCCATGAAGTAGCCCAGTTTGGCTGAAGCTTCCAAGGCGGTGAAGTCGGGTTGATGCCGAGACCATTGGAGAGACAAACGTGGAGGGGTCACTGGTCGAGTTGGGCGATGAGGAGTGGATTCGGCCTGGTTGGAGGTCGGAGGCTGGATGGATGCTGAAGTGGAGAAAAGGGAGATAGAGAGATCGGCGGGTTCTGTAACAGCGGGTGCTGGTGCTGGGGTGGTGGTGGAAGTATTGGCAGGTGAAGGACCGGTGGGTGGTTGGGAAGGTGGAGTCGGTATGGAGGGTGAAGGGAGATAGAACTGGAAGGGGGAAAAGAAAGGATCGAAGGAGGAGTGGAGGAAAGCTTGTTGTTGTAGGTGATGAGCGGCTTGTTGTTGCTGTTGAAATTGAAGGCGGAGTTGGCGAAGTTCCTCTTGTTCAGAGGCAGGAAGGGTAGTGAGTGGGATGACTGGCGGAGGTTGAAATGCCTGTGGTGGAGTCGTAGGTCGTGAGGCGGTATCCGGTGGTGTGGGTTGTGGATGTGGTCGATCGCCCGGTCCAGGAAGTAGCCTCAAAGGGGTAGCCACCGAAGAATCCTGGTCAGAGGGAGCATGAACGGAGGCAGGAGGCGAAACAGGTGTGCCGTGTGAAGTGGCAGGAGGAGCTGTTGTTTGGTCCGCCACTTGCCGGTATGGCTCCTGTGGTGTGTCGCGATGATGGCTGGAATGACCAGATCTGGGACGGTTGGGTGTGCGACGATGCTCCTGGGGCCCTCTTTGGTGTGTGCGAGAGCGGCGTCGCCGAGAATGTGAGCGGCGACTGTGACGGTCGTCCCGTCGGGAGCGCGCTGCTGCATGAGAGCGGTGTCGATGTCCCCGACGGCGGCGAGAGTGGGCAGAGCGGCTCCTGGGAGAACGACGCCGATCATGGTGTCGTGCAAGTGGTGAACGCGTCGTTCGTGAAGTGTGTCTGGGACGTGGTCGTGGTCCATATAGATTGGGGGGCTGTGGGCCCGTGGCACGTAGTTGAGACTGTGGAAAACATGGGCGTGGTGCTGGGACGCGTGGTAGTGGGAAGAATGGGCCGGAAAGATGTGCAGGTGGAGTGGGAGGAAAAGGTGGATTGGATCGTGAACGAGTGAAAGGAGGGTCAGGATTCGAGGGTGGGGTGGAAGTGGGAATGTTGTGTTAAGACGAGTCGCCTGCACCGGGGTCGGAGTGTGGTGGCGGATCTGGAACGCCGCGTGCGATCTCAGTGCCAGGTGGTGGGTTGATGGATGGTAGGGGAGTACCCTCGTCATCACCGTAATCAGGTTCTTCCATCTGAGGTCGGGTGTCCCTGGAGCGAGAGCTGCGTCGAAGATCACGTCGTGAATGAGGGCGAGTGGAGTCCAGAGAAGAACCGGAGCTCACCATGAGGTCAGAAAACGCCCGGAAATAAAACACTGTCAGTAGCAAATGACATAACATTCCTAAAGGCGAGAGAAGAAGATTGATAGTCACCATGTAAAATGCTTGGAACTCGGTCTGGAGCCAAACAGGAAGAAAAGGAAAGGAAATGCGAACAAGCAACACAAGAAGTGAAAGAAGTAAAATTGGCGCATAGTGGAAGACATTCTTTTAGGCTGCCTGGCAAGAAGTGAGGTGAAACTGAGAAACTAAGATCTGGTCGTGCGAGGGCGAGAGCGAGATCTCGAGCGTATGTGAAGACGATGTCGTGGTAGATGGCGAGAAGGCAGAGGACTGGGAGAGATAGGCATCCGGGTAGTGAGAGTCCTGGTAGTTCGCGATGAGGTCGTAGTAGGATGTGGCGTATCAGATCGAGTAGATAGGGATGCACGATCGCCAAAGTCAGTGCGGCCTTCAAGTTCGTCTTCAAGTTGTTCCGGGCTCTGTTGAATAATATGAAGGAGGCCCATGGCGGTCAGGAGCTCGTGGGTGTAGTGGACAGCGGTGTGGTTGAGCCGAAGAGCGAGAAGGAGTGTGTTGTCCAAACCTTCAAGGTGAGCTCGAAGTTGTGGGTGTGTGACCCGAGACATAAATGGAATAGTACGAATGCTGAGTGGTATATGGAGTAGGGCGTGTACCTGGGCCAAGAGGACATGTACGAGTAGAAGTTCACGATGAAGCATCGCCTGAGCACGAGGTGGGAGACCGTGGATCGGTGCCAAACCACAAGGTGGTGTAGATGTCGAAGCCATGGCAGAAAGGCAATGAAACCAAAGGATCGAGACGAGCCGTCACTAGTGAGCCAAAGATAACATAGGAAAGAGATAGAAACAAAGTCGGCGATGAAAATGAGTGATCAATCCAAAACAGAAAACAGAAAGCAGAGAGCAAGAAGAACTTTTGCTACAGAAAAAGGTTCGATTGGTGAGAAATCGGCTAAAGTCGGAAGCGTCGAGGAGGAGAACGTGAACGAGTGAGGGTGAGTGAGAACTTGGCCTCCTCGTCAAGGTCGAAGGTGGAGCTGAATGAGTCAGAGAAGAAGGAGGAGCGTGAGGAGGAGAGGGAGCCGTGGTCGTAGTCATTGTCGTCATTCCAGGTGGAGAAGGAGGAGACGGAAAGAGGTGTAGAAGGGGCCGAGGTGAAGAAAGGGATGTAGGAGAGGAGGTTGAATGGCCAGTAGGATGTGGAAGTCCCAAAGTGGAGCAAAGTTCATCGGTGTAGACCAGTGTAGTGCAGGTAGATCGTCGAATCTGTTCAAGGCTAGTCTCCAGTGCGCGAAGAGTAGCTCTGAGACGAGGGCAGGTAATCGTGCCCACAATGGAGGGAGTGACTGAATCCAAAGGTCCACGTAAAATCAAGAGGATCAAATGTAACGACGAATGTATGTGAAGAAGTTCACGATGAAGTACCTCATGAGCAGCAGCAGGTAGTCCAGCGATGGAAGCCAATCTCGTAGGTCCGGTCAGTGTCGTCGTAGATGGCATCGACATGGCGGCAGAAGGAATCGAAGGGGCGAGGTGTAGAACGTAGGGAAGCTGAAAGCCACAGGAAATAAGTGTGTATAGTTGAGAGGAAGTGTCTCGAAGTTCAGGAAAAATTGGAAACACCAAAGAAGGCCATTTTCTCAGTGGTCGGAAGAATGAACGAAAGAGGTACCTAGAGATTCCTAGAGTTCGAACGAGGGTGAGACCGAGAACGTGACGGTGCTGTACTGGATCGGTTAATCACAGGTCTACGTGGAGTACGTATCGTAGGAGGTCTCGGTGATGCCGTCGGAAGGGATCTGGTAGATGTCATAGTTCGAGTCGTAGTTGAACCCAGAGGAGTAGGAAAAGACGGAAGGCGGGGGTCAGGGAAGGTCGAGCATCCGCGTAGTTCAGCATCCACTTGAGTGGTGTCGCAATTCAAGGCATGCACCATCCCAAAGGTTGTGAAGAGTTCCTGGATATAGTGCACCCCATTGTGGATCGCCTGAGTCGCCTGTCGAATAGCTGAGTCCAGGCCTCGAATCTGCAGCTGAATATGTGGTGAAGTAATGTAGTCCATGAACGAAGGTTGGAGGATAGCAAAGCGAGTGCGAAGAAGGGAGGTGGCGAGAATCAATAGACCATGCAAATGAAGTATCTCTCGATGTAGGATCGTCTGGGCTCGCATCGTGATGCCGTCCACGGGAGTGAGACCAGTTGGAGAAGGAAACATGGCGAGAGGAGGAGGATCAACTGAAAAACTAAGGCTCCAACAGACTCCAATGAGCCTTGAACAGACTTTGGTCGCTGCGACCACGTACGGCTTGCCCGAAGGCTGCCACCTCTGACCGCTGCGGTCACGTAAAGGCATGAGCCAACTTGGAATTCCAAAGATGAGACAAAAATCATCGGACGTACGGCCTAGGCCACCTTCGCCCGCTCTGGGCACGTACGTTTCCAGAGCATGGGAAACAGCGACGTACACCCGTTCGACGGGTCCACGGGAGGCACTCTGCGGGCTCATCCCGGGTTGGCGCGAAGCCAAACACACTTAGGATATTGTGTACTGAACTGAAAGCGGTGCCACACGCCGGCCTAGGGTTCCAATTCCTAAGGGTACAGGTAAGGAAACCTAAAACCGAAGAGGAGGTCCATCCAGCGGAGGTCCCAAAGGTTTCAGGTGGCCAGCAACTCTAAAAGAAAACACCGATCGAGCGAACGACAAGGTGACGACGTACGTGCAGAAAAGCCAAGTTCATCGCCGCTGCAGTAGCCCTTTACTGAAGGAAACAACGAAGTAGACAGCTTGTGCTCTACGTAGGTTTCTCTTCAAGCAGGTACGTCAATCCGGCGTCCCGGATTGATTTCACCAGCACACATCCAGTGTCTTCGTTGGTGCAAGACTGGATGGGCTGCTTGCACCCCCTGCAATAATACTAAACAAATCCAGAAGGATCCCTATGACTCCAAGGGTTACACACACACACACACCTACACATGGGAAACAAAAATATCTCTTGAACGAACAAGACAAGGTTCGTGCTGGTTTTGCAATACCTTTCCTAGTTCCATTGTGGTATTGTCCCACCAAAATTGCTTCCAAAAGCAACCGCGAAAGCAAGAACTTGAATCGTCAGTCGTCTGACACGACCCAGCCATATCAGAAACTGCTCCCAGCTCTTAGGACAACCAAAACCAATTTTGCCGTTTCAGTTGATTCGGCCCTCAGATCGAAACCTCTTCTCCTGTACAAGATATTGCCCATTCTGCATTCTAGACCAATGTGTCAACAAACCAACGAGAGGGCCGGAGCCCAAAAGGTGCAGCATCAACGCTACGCATCACACCTGGTTCGTGTGCCACAGTCCAGACTGCCTTTGCTGCTGCATCGAAACTCTCGCACACCTGAGAGCTCAACTGAGACAGTGTATTAAACATTCTAAACCCTTGCTCCTTGGCAAAGAATGCCGCGATTGCGATTCCGCTATTTTGGCTATCTCCTAGGCCCTCATGCTAATGCGCGTATTCCATGCAATGGCAGTGAAAAGTCCTTTGACTAGTGACTAGTGATTCATGTATTTAACAGCAGAGTTCAAAGGATCACCATCTGGGGTCCAAAAGAGATCCAAAGAGCTTGGTCTGATTACGAAACCTAGAGACTTTTACCACCCCAGTCGCCTGTACGGAAGGACTCTTCGGGATGGACCCATATCCACGGGTCGCCTCGCGGGCGATGACGGGTCGATCCGCGGGTTCAAAGAAACAGGTACACAACTAGATATAAATAAATATACATATAATATATATATATACACATCACAAAACACTTCATGGGCATGTCATAGGAAGACTTCCTGGCCCAATCGGGTGTTGAGACAAAAAGAGGGTGTGTCTTCCTTCTGCCAGCGGGTCCGAAAGTGGTGCTTCCCCATGTTAAACGTTAAACCACACCCACATGTCATCTTTGCACCCCTCAATCGCGTCTTTCTCCCTCCAATCATCCCACATCAACCAGCACCTCCACGACCACTGGAGTGGAGGCCAACTCGGGCCTGGAGCTCAAATACCTATGCCCAGCAGATGAAGCTGCTGGATTCATCAGCCGCTTCTGCCTGAAACTTTTTAGCTCAAAATCAGTGCACACATGTGTTTGATGATGTTTATGCTTGATGTCATCGTTGTAGTCTTATGGTTCTCTTTTTTTGAAAAATATCTGGCATAATGCTGGACTTCCAATGGTCTTTTGTGCCTCGATGGGATCTTGTGCGGAGCCTTTGATGCAAAAAGAATCGACCCAAAACTGTTTTCTGCCCCTGGTGTGACAGGCGCAATGATTTCATTTTATCCATCATCAGCAATCCCTCTGGAAATGCTGACTTTCTCCAAGTTCAAACAAGGTGTTCAATCTCTTGCGGCGCACTGCAAGAAAGGCAAAGCCTCCGCCGCTGTGACCATGACCTCAGTGGCACCAACTCCATTTCGTATCGCTGCAGCATCGCTTGTCGCTTGCAAGCATCCGGTTGGTAGCAAGGTTCGTCAAGTTACAATTACAAAGCCAGCTAGGCTAGGCCTGAATTGAGGTCTTAACCTGAAAATGAGATTGTACTTTTGTCTCATTCACGGCCAGACCCATGCCTGAATTACTCCCTACAGCAGTTTTCCGAGGGAAGGCGACAAATACCTCCAGTATGCCGTGGTGAATGTCAGAGTATGTCAAGTAAATTCCCTCAGATAGCAGCCAAGTGACAACGGTTCGAACAAGGCCGCGTTTCTTGTCCAATGCCCTGGGAGTAAAAAGCAACAGGAAAGTAGCGTGTGTCTATGCAAAGAAAGAATGGCAAGCCACTCTGAAAACCTCTCCTTTGCTTTGTAGAAGCTGCTAGAACACAGTTGTTGCTTTTTTTTTTGGTTCTTTCTTCCATGGGGGGTTCAGTATGGCAGCGCAAAGCTGCCCTCAAGATCCACCTTCAGCGTGGCTCGAGTGGGATGTCACGTTTTCAAAGAAATACAAGGTTGTTTGGCTCAGAAAAACACATAGAATCAACGAGTATGTGTGGGTCAACGAGTCAACAACAAGCATCCCAAATATCCAAAGAATCAGTCGGTGCCCTGAGCCCTCAAATCTCAGCGGGCCTTGCTGCATTCTTGTTGGTCTTGTAGCCTTTCACCTGCCGCAAAAGCTAGTCCAAGCTGTGTAAGATACGATGTTGCGAAGGATTGTTCAGAACATTATCTGGAGAATCCAACAAAGTTGGGAAAATGACAATGCCTTCCACTCAAAGACTTATGATGATCACCCTGCAACAAGTTGTTCAGGTTCTTGGTGGTGTGCAACATAAGAACCATCAATGAAAAAGAAGACCGGTGCTCTTCTTCTATCCGCTTCATGTCGATACGCACAGGGCACAGTGACGTCGCGCCTGGCAACCCAAGCTTTCCAGTTGGGTCTTTAAGGAGACGGCTGTTGGTTTGAAAGCCTAGGATGGTCAGATCCAAATCAGACGACTACGAAATAGACAAGAAGGATTCTGAAAGTCGACAATACTTGGGAGAGTATCACAGGCCAGTTCCAGCCTGTAAGAGAAGTCCTTGAGAGTTTCAATTTTTAGATAATAGTCCTGAAAGGAAGGAGGAGGCACCTAGCTAAGCACTTGTTAAGCTTGACACAAATCCCTTCTACCGCCAGGATGAATGTGCTGACACTGCAACCCCCAGCAAAATATCGTCGACTTACCAGGCCTGATCCGAAATCCAGACCAATGTCCAGGGATTCTCCCCCTCACAGCCAGCGGCATCATGAACCACAGACCATCGGAATAGACATTATTATAGAAAGGGGAGGAGGGCACAAAGTCCCTAACAAATCGGAGTCTTTGCGTTGGCCTAGCTCATCTCCTGCCAAATAGATCTTTTCAGCCTATGAACCTGGGCCTGGACTTTTGCAAATCTCTCCGGGTTCGACCTTTTCATGTGCTTCCATGCCAATCCGGCTACTGTGGTCTATGCCTAGCCTATGCACTTAGTTGATGTGATGCAAGAATACAGGAGGATTCAGGCAGAAGCCACAGAAGCTACACGATCAAGGATGCAAACGCATAGTATGTCTTAAGCAAGTCAAGCACGAGACTGTAATCACCTTGCCTGCTCTTTTTGGCTCTTCACTTCAGTACCTGTCACGCTCAATTCTGGCTTCAAGGTGCCGATGATCTCAAAGAAGAGAGCCAGCACCCTTTTCAGGGCTCAGCACTTGCCACAACCTTTCCAAGTACTCATGAATCACAGAAAACTGGAAGAGACATGGGAGATAGCCATCTGCCCTCTCTCACAGCCTCCTGCAGTCTTCTCTGGTGCCTTTGGGACGGCCTTGGCACCATGGATTGCTGGGTTAGCTCCAACAAAATTGAGACCACAGAACCAAAAGTATTTTTTGGCAAAGGTCACAGAGTAAGTACAATAAAGACACGGGGACCCGGGACCCCAAACCCTCTCAAGAAATAACACCCCACAAAACCGATGGGAAATCACACAAACACATCTTCTTGTGCTAGGCGATGACTTTTGCCTGGCTACCCCGCTAGACGCCACATGGGCCCATCCGTGACTCTCGACCTTCTTGGAAGCTTGACCTTTCGAAATAGCGACTGTGGCAACTGCCCAGCTCTACCAAGTCTACCAGCTCTCACGCCTCTTTTAAGCCGTGAGAAATGGGTGAGCTGACCACACAGCGGTGGCGCAGCTCGTTTTGAGCTTCAAGCTTCGCTGAAGTCAACACGGCTTCGAATGAGAACGGAGTTTCCACAGCCCAACAAGCATTTGAGCAACTTGACCAGGCGTACAATTCCATATCTAGAGGGAAACGGAGTATTTCAGGTAGAAAGCTTTCGAATGCACTTGCACTTGCATCAGCAGGCTTCAGCATCTGCACTATGTACATCCGGCTAGTCTGTGAGCGAAGGGCTAAAAGTCATCCCAGTCAAAGAGACCGCCAGGGGGATCTGTTTCCTGCATGGCAGGCATGGATTCAACCTCAATTAGAATGGTTCAAAACCGACTGGCAAGTCATTGAACGCAAAAAAAGATGCGGCACAGGGCACCAACGCTAGCGCTGCTTGTGAAGTCGGTCAATGTTCTGGGATTCTTTCCAGACAGTGCAGACTTGGCCTGGGGCACTTCACATCCAGCACGGGAGACAGCGTCCAACCTCAAACCCAGCATGGTCAGGTCGAAAAAGTTTGCTAGCAAATCTTGCCGCAAAACCGCAAACAGGCGCGCTCATGACATGGGAAGGCCCCTCAAGCAATGGGCATCAGCAGTGTTGCATTCACAGTGGTTTTAGTTGAGATACACTCGTTCTTTCACTGTGTCTACAAATGATGCAGGGTGGCCCAGTGCAAGCCAGTGACAGCTGTTGTCCATTTCCATTGAAGCCCCATTGCCTTCCGTGACAGTCCAACATCCCTTCTGGTGTCACGGGCCAAATGCAGCAACCATGGAGGAACTTAAAGCTGAAGAATGTAGATACGTATAAGAACAGTTTCCACAAGCAAGGCAGTGAACAAAAAAGGTCATCAAACTGTCGTGTCTCAAAACATAATTAGAGGCCCCCCGCAACAAAGACTTCAGAGTGTTCGCAATGTCGGAGACGAGCCCAACGCAGTTCAGGTTCCGATTCATTATTTTCTCTTCGCGGCCTTGCCAAGGCATCATCGCCAGCCACTGCCCGCTCCACCAGCAGCTGCTTCGCCAAGCTGAGAGGTGGAGTGGGTTCCCAGGTGGAGTTGAACAGATCAAACGATTTGGTAGGCGAAAAGTGTTCATGTAGAATGTAGGTTGCCTGATAGGTCGCAGTAGGCTATCATCTATATACTTGAAGTCCACTTCTGCAAACAAACGGTGATAAAATGAGCTGAATCTGAGGACCAGGTTTGTGCTAGAAACGAAAATACATTCTTGGACGGTACGCCTTTTCGTCAAGACCAGGTCTTCACCTGAGCGGTGGGAACTGCAGTGTGTGTCGTTGGCACATCCTCATTGGAGAGTACTGACATGGCCATCGCCAATTCAATAGCAAAGTGCATGTCGGAGGTCGTGCAAGTGCTCTGATCGAAATTTAAACATGACAGCATTGACACCCGTATGCCGTATGTGCCAATAACCAAATGAAGGATTGTGCCTTCATGTCACTCGACTCTTGCTCCTGATATTGAATTCTGGGCTCTCCAGCTACATGAAGCATCCTGGGGCAGTAGCAGTCCTTCGGGAGGCACCTTCAGGCACATCATGCGATGGAGCTTTGGAGCTTTGGAGAAACATGGAGACACACCAGAAAGCAAAGCCAAACAAACGGGGCAGCCAGCTTCTCTTTGACGCCTCTGCACCCAGCAAGAGCAGCTGCTGCATCACCTTGAAGTCAAGGAAGCCGTTTCATGCCTCTATATCCTCCTCTATCGAATCTGTATTTTTTGAGAGAGAGAGAGAGAGATCTATATATATATACTGTGTATATATATATATATATCAGATCATATCAGATCTATCATTATCTATCCAAAAGTAGAGGTCAGGTGCCAGTCGATGTGGCAACCAGCCCACTGACAATACAAATGAAGACGGACCCCATCTTTCGCTGTCACTGAGCCAGCTTTCTTCAGCTTGTTAAGTGTTCGGAAAGAGAGATCCTCAGCCCCCAATGCCAGAAGTAAGTTTGGAAAGGCTCGGGCCTCAAGTTGCTCGGCCTCTGCAGCAAGCCTCAACCTCAAGCGCTCTGTGCGGACGATGCTCTGGCCATTGGCCGAAGTTGGGCAAAGAGCCTAAAAGGATATTGGAGTCTCTTCACTTGAGTCTTAGATTCTATGTCCAATCGATGTGTTTCCACAAAAGAGGACCTCAAGAGACCCAAATCTGTGGATCTCCGGATCTCCTGAGCGTCCCAACGCATCGAAGCCATCCTTGGCAGTAATCATCAGGTCTGCATTCGCCTGGACCAAGTACTGCACCACCTGCCACCGGCTGACCGCCGCGTAGTGCATTGCCGACAGTTCTAAACTCGTGCACCTGTGTTCATCTTGATTTGTCCAGCTCAGGCGCAGCAACCACACCCGAGGGCAGCAGTGGTTAGTGGTTAGAGCCTCCAAGTGACCATTCAACGATGCAAGCATCAGGGCAGTCTCCTGAAGGCATGCCAAAGTGTGGAAAGTCATCAGTGATCTGGTGAGAGGAAAGAATGCATTCAGATGAGCAACATGAGCATGATTGATCATGAGTTCTTTTCTGCCGTATGGAATACCTCATCCCTTGTTCATTGTGGCAAGCATCACCCCTGTTCGACGTGCCCTTCGTCGTGCCAAGGCACCCCATCACAGCCTTGAAGGTCCAACTCTGCATTCGCCTGCAGGCCACTGGCCACAAACAGACCACAAATGTATAGTAAGGATGTCAAACGAAAAGAAGTAAAAACAACATCAAAAGTTCAATGCAAAAACAATTCTTGTTTTCGTTTTCACCAGTCCCTGGCGGAACACAACAAATCAATACAAATCATGGATTTGAAACCAACTATGAAGACACCGATACCAATCAATTGGTGAAAGAAACAAAAAACACAGGTTAGGGCTCACAAGGCCAGTCCACCAACCCAGCTGAGGCCACTCAGGGGCCAATGATGCCCGTTGGTTGGTATATTATGTTGGTATGAGTGGAGCGAGGGCAATCTGACTTTCTTCAGGACGTCACACTTCGACATTGGTTTTCAGTTAGACTCAATTGCCACGTTGGGAAGGAAGGTGAGGGAACGGCAAGGCGAAAGGGTCCGGTGACTTGTATTGCTTAACAAATGTTTCACTCGCGCGGCTGGCTGCAATTCACAGTTGGCTGAACACTGCGGTGGGAAACGTGTTTGTGGGGAAGGTATCATGTGAAACCACCATGAATCAAAAAGCGGATAAGGAGGGTAACAGCTTGTGAAGCACTCTGCAGGTACATGGTTGAGCGTCCTCAACCACTTCCCTTCCAGTGACCCAGCTTCGTTGGATCAGGTTAGTCACTGGAAGCCTGATCCCCCTGCTTCTGTGGAAAAAAGTGGAACGTGCCTCTGTTACAGTGGAAAGGTGAGAACGTGGAAAACCCTTAGAACCAGGGTGTGACACACACAACAAGCCGTGATCGGCGCACAGACAAAGCGGTGGAGAACGGATCTTTTTCTCAAAAACCGCCTGCACGCGTGCAGGTCATGCCCTTTTTGGGCATATAGTTGGACCAGGGCTTCAGCCGCAGCGGTGGCGTTGTGGGGTGGAAAAGTGTATGTATAGATGGAGTGAAGTCTGGAAGCTAAAGCGCTGGCTACCGGCGCTGGTGTGGTCCCTGATTTTCCAGGGTTGGGTGGGTTGTATGTAGGTGATGGTGCGTTGCTGGAGGTCGATGTTGAAACCCAGAAGGTGGAAGTCATCCACCGTCTCCAATTCGACGGGATCGCCGAAAAAGTTGTTGTGGATGAGGGTCTGGATGGCGGGATGTGAAAGGAAGTGTTCATTGTGGACAATGAAACGGTTGTCTACATATCGATAGTATGTGAAGTGGAGGGCAGTGTGTTGAAGGAGATTGTTGTGGAGCTGGTGCCAGGAATGTTCGATGAGGGTGATGGCAACGTTGCAAAGGGCAGGGGAGAGCTGGGAGCCAATCCCAGCCCCCCGGATTTGTTTGTAGGTGTTGTTGCGTGCCCGGAAAATGCAGGTGTCGAGCGCATATGCCACAATGGTTGTAATATCCGCAGTATGGTGCGTTGTGTGGGGCGGCGTCGGTGGTGCCTGCCGATATGGGAGTGATGGAAAGGATTGCCAGTGGCTTTGGTGTCGACGGTAAGAGTATGGGTGTGGTTCTGGTGTTGCCATTGCTGAATCAGGGAATGGACAGCGTCAATCAGGCGGCGCTGTGGAACTGAGTTGAAGAAGCCGACAAGATCATCATTGGTGGCGTGTAGGGGGATGTCCGGAGGGGTATCGGTGAGGTAGCAATGAAAATGGGACCACAGTTGTGGAATGGATAGTTGACCTGGATGCTGAGGGAGAAGATGTTGCAGGATAATGTCAAGGGCTCGGCTGGTAATGTGGAGGAGATTGCCGCTCAGGGACTGAAAGTACGAGATGATGGCGCGGCCTTTCCCCCACTGTTTCTTCTCCTTGAGGTGGACGATGCCGTATGGGATCGTGAAATCTTTTCTGAAACCCCATTTGCAGCGTGTGCGGAGGCTGGGGGGGATGGTATGTATCAGGTATTCGTGGATGTTGGACGGTTGGAGTGTTGACATGGGTGCAAAAAGTTCCGGTGACTGCCAGGTGGCAAGCGCCCCGGCGAAGTACTGGCGGGGGCAGAAAATGCGCAGCTGTTGCAGTTCATGGTCAGCGTGGTGAAGAACAACTTGGTCGCCCAGGAATTCCTGGAGTTGCCGGAGAAGCCGAGCCGTGAAGCGGGGTTGGTGTTTCAAATGGTTGGTGTGGAGCCTCCATTGGTGCTGGAGGAAGGGTTCCAAGTGTTGTGTAAGGGAGGATGGGTGGGAGGCCTTGAATGCGCAGCCATTTTGTGAAAGCGGTCTGGAAGGAAAGGAAGTATCTGGCCTTGCTGGGGTAAAAGGTGCTGTTCATATTGGCTGCCAGGAAAATGCGGAGGTGCTGTGGTAGTGCAAGTTGTTCAAGGGTGAGGATGTAGTGATTGTCGATTGTGGGTGTAGTTGGATCGAGAAGAATGGTTTTGAGGTGATCGCATGCACATGGCAAGTCGCTGGAGGTCGGAGGGTTAGATAGCGTACCCTCCCAGGTGCGGTGGTTGTGCAAATGGGCCCGGAGAGTCTTGTGGGCTGCTTCCCGCAAACGGTGAGTAGGTAAGTGGAGCGGGATGGCCAGGTGCTTGTGGTGCTGTATTGTGGTTTTGAGCCACTGTTCACAGTGTTTGGGGAACTGATCGTGGGCCAGAAATGGTATGGTGAGGGGATGTTGGGCTTGGGCGGACTGAGGTTGCGGTACTGGAGGGCTTGGTTGATGATGTGTAGTGCTCTGCTGCGGCCAGGCTCTTCCAGGTTTGAGGCCATTCGTCGGATGGCGTAGACCTCCAGGTCAGTGTGTTTGCCGCTGCGCAGTTGTTTGGCTGCTTCAAAGGATGCCAGTGTGTGCTTAGTGAGATTGCGAAGGAGAGTGAGGGAATGCAGTCGAGTGGAAGTGAAAAGATGTGGTTCGTGAATGGCATGTTGCCGTCTGCGGAGCTTGCAGAAAAGTCTCTTGTGGGTAGCCAGGCGAGAGTAGAAATGGGCGCGGTGTTTTGTGAACTGCCAACCTTGAGCTTTGAGCTTGAGGTGGTGGGAGATGAAAGGCCAATTGAGTGGCGGCATCCAGTTGGAAATGAGGTAGTGTTCTTGGATCCAAGCTTGGTCGTAGGTATCGTGAGAGGAAAGTTGTATGGGTGTGAAGTGGTGAATATTGTTGTGAGAATGCCAGTAACGAAGGGATAGTTCCGCTGAAATGGGAACGTTGTTCTGCAGCTGTTTGAGTTTTGCCCGACGGTTGTGTTCCCTGTGTGGGATGCCAATGCCAGTAGAGCCGATATAGAAATGGCCATGCTGGTGGTAGCAGCGGTGCGGTGTGGTGGGGTTGAGGTAGAGTTTGACACACACGGCATTGGAAGAAAGAAAGTTGTGGTAGTGATAGGTGTGGGGCTGTATGTGGAGGTGCTGAAGTCGCTGACGCCATTGCTGTGAACGTTGGGTAGATGAGGGGTAGCAGAATAGAAGTGTGAGGTGGATGAGTCCCACGGCAAAGAGGGCCTCGGCACGTTCAATGTATTGGCTGTAGTGGATGAGGGTGGAAAGAGCTTGGTGTAAGTGGAAAAGTTGGTGGAGTGTAGTGTGGCGCGGCTGGCGTTGACTGGTCAGGGCTAGTCAGCATGCGATGGCAGCGCCCACGCTGACAATGTGTTGGAGGCTCTTGATCGAGAGCTTGTTCACCCGAATCAGGGGGAGGCCGTAGCGGGTCGCGGCCTCCTTAAGCTGATCGGTGGAAACCTTGCTAGTTTGGAGCAAGCGCAAGATTTCCTGGGCTGCCTCCTGTACTTTGGGCTCAAAAGTCCGCGTCCATTGTTGGATGGAGGGTGCGGTCCAGGCTTCTGGGGCGTCGTCCTTGAGGGTGGGTAGGACGGTTGAAGCACGTCAGGGAGTGCTGGTGGTGGTGGAGGTGCGGGGGGAGCTGCAGGGGCAGAGGGAGCGCTGGGACGGCCAGTGTCCTTCTTGGGGGTGAGCTCCAATCCGTGTGCTTGGAGTTTCTCCCGGGCACGGGCAAGATCATCGGAGGTGGTTTTGAGCGCTCGGAGGGCGGAGCCTTCAGCGACCGCTGGAGCATGGGCTTGCAGTTGGTCGGTTAAAAGTGTGATGAGGGGAGAGTGGAAAGCCCGGGCTTGTGTTGTTTTGTTGGGAATGGTGGCGCCGGCCTTGGTGTGCATAGCCTCTGCGATAGCGTCCAAGTCCAGGCGCTTATCGCGAATCTCCTGTAGGAGATGTGTGGTGAACACTGATTCGGCCACGCTTCTGGTTGGGATGAGGCCGCAAAACTTGCCATGACTGAGCATCCTCGCTGTATAGTCAGCCGTACCGTGGTACGCGAGGAGCCAGGGGAAGACCTCAAAAGTTGGCAATCCTGCAATCCCGACGCGTCGGGACCATTGCGTTGGCTGGATGTGACGGTGGAGTTGATGTCCGTGAAGGGCCTTTGAGTCCCAACAGGAATCCGTGGAGTGCCAGGATTCTTGGATGGTTGGGGTTGTAATGACCCGCTGCGGGGGCCAACGATGGATCAGGAGGTGATCCCTCCACTGTCACAGGCGCGACCGCTGGTGGGGCAGAGCCAAAACATGGATCAGCCATGGCTATGGAGGAAGGCAAAAGCGTGCTCTCAGTGTGCGATCTCAACAAAACGGCTGCGGAGGCTGACAGGGGATAATAGGTGAGATTCATCAAAGATTTGGGAAAGGCTGTAAGTGAGCAGTGTGGGATTGGAAAGTGTTAAAAGAGCAAAAGAGCATGATGCTCAATCTTTTGTACAGACAATGTCCAGTTGGCAAAGTGAAAGGTATATACAAAGCGGCTCACTCTGGTGGAAGTTGAGGAGGCGGCAGGGTTAGGATGCTGAGCTGTCTCTGGATCGTGAACGGTCCCTTGCTGTGGGGCCATAAGGCGCAGGCTGGCGATGGCGATGGGACCGATGACGATGGTGCCGAGGCGGAGGTGGACAGAAAGTGCGTACTTCATCAGCCAGCAGTGGTGTCAGGTGGGAAATGTGCTAAAGGGTTGACACGATAGCTGCCTGGACGGCCCATGGGCCTGGTATAAATTGAAGTAGTCGGCTGGCGCGTTTCAAGCGCATGGTGACTCGGTAACACTCTGATGGTACTGAAAGTACAGCCGGAAAGCATCAGCATCGGTGAAAAGGGTGTGGTCTGGTATGGGACTGTCGATCATGGGGTGGTTGAAGATCTGGGTAACCACGTTGGCAAGGCTGTCGAGAAGTCCTTGCATGAGGAGAAGTTCTGGCTGGTGTGTAAGTGAGGGAGTCAAGTGTGGAGGAGGGTTGTCTGGGAGAAAGTATGTCTCGCTGGCTGAAGTCTGCTCTGTAGAAGGTGACCGCGAGGCGCGAGTCGGCCGGACGTCAGCTGGAGCCATGATGAACCGAAAATTTGTCTGTACACTCAAAGCAGTCGAGATATTGAAAATGGCTGCGGTAGCATGAAGTGAAATGACGAGCAAAGCTCAAAGATCACGGGAAGATCCGGTAGTCAGCTGTGGCGACGCAGTAACATGGCTGGAAAGACTGCTTTGGCTGCAAAAACTGCAACGGGTTCTCCTATAGTGTCAGGACTGCAAAGTCTCGCATCCGGTGGTTCAGCTGCGCACGGAAATTGTTTGCTAGAGGCGCGCCGAATGGAGCGGGGTGAAACTGAGACTATACAAAATAGCTGCCAATGTCGGCTGCTTCTGGTTCTGGATGACTGTCCTCACTGATGGTTGCTGGCATAGCATCGCCAATGGCTGCGGCAGCCGGAGGAAGAAATGGAGGTGTTGTAGGAGTGTAAGAAAAGTCTGGAGCTGAAGGTGGTGCCTGTGGTGGGGTTGCTGCGGAAGGAGGTGGTGGCGTGTTGGCGGGTGAAGTAGGTGTAGGTGAAGGCGGTGGGATGACAGCTTTGTGCTTGCGTTGTGCTTCCTGAAGTTCTTCCCAGCGTGCTTTGCACTGTTCAATTGAGAATCCCACTCGACGAGCAACGTAGTTCCAATTCGGTCTCAGGCGGGCATCAGTTTTGAGTTCCACAAGGCGAACTTCAGCGTCGCCATCCCAGGCATCCCAATCAGCATCTTCTTTGAGAGGTGGTGGAGGTTCGCGTTTCTTCTTGGGTGGTGGTGGTGATGGTGGAGAGGTGGAGGTTGAAGATGCTTGTGAGGCGGTAGGTTGTGGTGGTGCATGCCTGATGGGAGGAGTGGGAGCTGAATCACAGGAGGAAGTGGGTGAAAGAATAGGAACTGCTGTGGTGGGAGCCGGAGGGAGTGGTGGAAAAGGCCGTTGGAATTGAGGGTCGACCTGTCGTGTGTGAACAAGGTAAAGGCTGTGAAGATTGGCTAGAATGTCGGTTGCTTGCTGGAGTAGGCGATGGAGCTGGGTGAGAGCAATCGTGGTTTGATGGAGGAGTCGAGCTTGATCTGCAGTAGAATGCATCTTGAGGTACAGCGTCGGGGATCAAGCAGCTGAAGCGGCAGGCTGAAGCGGCGGGCGGATGGCACAGCGCAGGTGTCAGCACTTCATGAGCGGCCGGCGCATACGAGCGGAACATGCAATTGAATTACCAGCATGAATTATTGAGCACGAATTTTGCAGAGGCACGATCTGAAAAGGGGCTTGAATCAATACAAAAAGAGGTCACACGAAGGAAATCTGCAAACGGTCATCATACAAGGAAACTACGTGGCCAAAAATGGATCCAGCTATCAGCAGGAAACCGAGAATGTAACAATTGCCATCATGTCGCAAAAATTTGATCAAAGTGGGAGAAAAAATGAGCACGAAAACGGACTGTCGATTCCATTGGTTGAAGAGGGCGAAAGCAATCTCATAAATGGACTGGAAACCGAGAAATGTGATCGCAGCTGACTGGCGCAAAGAATGGGGCTCGGATTTTTGCGAAGCCGGAGTTGGTGGTGGAATGTGAAACACGTTGAAAAGCCTCTCTCAAGTGTGGTGAGTTGGTGATGGTGGTAAGGGAGGTGGGTTGGTCGGTTGTATGTGGTGAAGCCTCAAAGGTCGGGTGGTGTTGCATTGATAGACCACGCCAGTCCTTTGACAATGGCGTTATGGGGGTGAATCACCCAGCAGCGGGCTTTAGAGTGGCAAACGGCGCCATGGTTTTGTTGTAGAAGGTGCATGGCTTGGGCTTCACCGCCGCTGGTGAATTTAGTCCCCCGGCCCCAGGCTAGGAGATGGATCACGATAGAATGGATGTTTTTTGCCAGTTTCCATGTGTTGTGTAGTATGCGGGCTTGTTCGTAGTTGTCGTGTATTTGCTGGTGAGTAATGCGTGTGGCCTGGGCGAAAAAGCCCGGGTTGGCGTCAAAGTGGAGGGCGCTGGGCAGGAGACGGCCCTGTTGGAGGATGGCGGTGATGTTGCCGTGGGGGCCTGCGCGGCCAGCGTTGATGTGTACTGTTTCTGGAATAGTGGAGGTGGCACGGGTGGCAGGCGGTGGTAGCGGGCGAGTAGCCTTGTCGACCAGACTGGGAATGTTGATACAGTGGTAGGAGAAGGTGTCATAGGTGTTGGTGGCGTCATTCCACTTCACATGGGTGAGTTGTCGGAAGTCTGCCAAATCAGCATGGGTGTAGCCGCTGTCAGCGAGTAATCTGGCGACGTATGCATGTCGTGGTTTGTTCTCTGCTGCCAACTGTGCAGCATGAAAGTCGAGCCACCATTCGATCTGTTCTTGGTGTGATAGCTGGTGGAAATGTGGTGGAGGTGCTTTCCAAGGTGGATGGGGGCGTCGTAGTGCTGGGATGTTGGGAAAGTCTGCCTGGGACGTGTTGGTAATTTGGTGGTGAGGTGTGGACTGTTGATTGGGCCGCAGGGTGATGGGTGCATGGGAGCGGCTGCGGGAGCGGCTGTCAGAGGTTGTGGAATGTGAGGTTGAAGGGGAATGGCGACGCCGGTGGCGCGCTGACGAAGCTTTAGCGGTGGAGGTTGGAGTCGAATGGTGATGTCTGGTGCGCCGGTCGCGTGTGCGGCGACTGCGGTGGCGATGACGACGTCTGCTGCGGCCTCTGCTGCGGTGGGTTCGGTGAGTGGCTGCAAGAGAAGCAGGTGGTGAATGGGCAGTGCCCGAACGAGCCGATGGGGCATCTGGAATGTGTGTGTGGGATCGCTTGTGAGACCCCGAAGTTGGCGCTGAGGATGCTTCCGGTGGGGGTGGTGGTGGAGGCGGTAGTGGTGGAACTGTTGCTGGTGGTGTGGCGAGGTTGGTGGTTGGTGATGTGGAAGGAAGTGTAGCGGCCGTAGCAGTGGTGGCTGGTTGAGAGGTGCTCTGATGGGGACTCGCTGATGGTGGTACGCTCGGATCACCAGGAGCTGGTGGCGCAGATGCCACAGTGGAAGGTGTTGGATCTGAAGGAACAGTAGTGGTTGAGGCTGATGCTTGATGTGAGGGCGGTGAAGGGTGAGCTACTGGTGGGAAAAGGGAGTAAGGTTGCCAAATGCCTTGAGATTGGTCCCAGTGAATGGGAGTCGGCTGGGCCGGTGGTGGTGGTGCCTGCGGAGCTGGTGGCGCGGATGACACCGGTGATGAAGTTTGCAAAGATAGTGGATGGTGTAGAGGTTGTGCTGGCATTGGCTCAAGTGCCTGCATCTGAGGTGGTACTGGGTAAGCGTGTGTGTGGGTCACGAAAGTTGGTGCCGGTGGAGGATGTGTTGGCATGTGGTGTGGCCACGTAGGAGCCGGCGGTTGCGGTGAAGTGGCCTGAAACTGAGGTAAGATCGCTTGTGGTTGCTGATGAGGCAAAACGGTAGGTAAAGGTGCGGTTGGTGGAGGATGGTGCCATGGTGGAGGCTGAGTGCTGACGATAGGTATTGTGGGTGAGGCACAAGGTGATGGCCATTGTGGATACGGCCAAGGATACTGCATGTGGAGAACAATGGAGAGGCCAATCCGATAGGCTGCAGAAAATGGCGCCGGCGCGGCACAGCAGCGGAAGTGAGAAATTGGGAATACTAGTGAAATCTGGAGCCTGAGTGCATGTGCAGTGAAGAAAAGTAAGGTGAAGTCGTGGCGTGCAATGCAATTCCTAGGATCTGTGGTGTGGAGCATGCGGAAGCTGATCAAATGGCTGCGGATTAAAAATTAAAAGTTGAAAGAGGTAACACCGCACAAACCGATATCGTGGTCTTGCAACACGGAGAGAATTCAGAGTTTTTGGTGGGAAATCCATCGTTTATAGCCCGGCGGCTCGAAAATCAGTTAATTCAGGGATAAAGTTGGAAGATCGGTGATTTCCGGCATGATTTCAGCGCCTCCTTTCGGAGGGTCACACCCAGTACCCACGTGGGAAGACTGAGCGGTCCACACTTTGACATTGGTTTTCAGTTAGACTCAATTGCCACGTTGGGAAGGAAGGTGAGGGAACGGCAAGGCGAAAGGGTCCGGTGACTTGTATTGTTTAACAAATGTTTCACTCGCGCGGCTGGCTGCAATTCACAGTTGGCTGAACACTGCGGTGGGAAACGTGTTTGTGGGGAAGGTATCATGTGAAACCACCATGACTCAAAAAGCGGATAAGGAGGGTAACAGCTTGTGAAGCACTCTGCAGGTACATGGTTGAGCGTCCTCAACCACTTCCCTTCCAGTGACCCAGCTTCGTTGGATCAGGTTAGTCACTGGAAGCCTGATCCCCCCTGCTTCTGTGGAAAAAAGTGGAACGTGCCTCTGTTACAGTGGAAAGGTGAGAACGTGGAAAACCCTTAGAACCAGGGTGTGACACACACACACACAGAGAGTTTCGATGTTTCGTTTTGAGCCTCGACAAGCTGCCTCACCACCTCCAGATGGCCTCGCTGAGCTGCCAAGCTCAAGGCAGTGGCGCCTACAGCATCCTCGCCAGGCGAGCAGCGGCCAGACACGGAAACAAACGAAAAAACGGGCACCTGTGCTTTGGAGAAAACGAAAAGAAGCTTTGGCAATCAAGAGGCTCACGGGTATGAAGACGGCCAGAAAGTCTGAGATGCTGCAACATGGCTCTGAAAAATATCGTTGGCTCCTGGGCATTGATTGATGATGGCAGCAAAATATCAAGGATTGCCTGACAGCTTCCAAAGGCACGCTCTCTTTCTACGTCCTTCCCATCATTCGTTTAATCTGGATGCTTTGTGTGCCACAAAACCTCCGTTGCCAGTACCGCTCTCAGAATCGCTTCAAAACAGAATGCGCCACGCACTAGGCAGGCACAAACACAGGAAACCTGCTGGCGTTTGCAATAGTATTGTTTTCTCAAGCTCCACAGGCCGGGAACGACCAAGTGGTGATTCAAATGTGTAAGCGTAGGTTGTCTTGTTCAAGGCGATGTCTACCCAGGACATCTGTGTAGTTTTCTGCCTAATTTTGCTTTTGCGGGTGAAAGGTTTCCAGTGTTCTTCAGGATGAACTTAAACCTCTCTTTGTGGTTAATCTGTTTGCGCTCAACCAATACATAGACATCTTGTGTAGAACAGGAGAGGACCCAACGATTGCCTTTGTCATGACTGTCATCACCACAGCTTTGATTGCAGATAGATGTTGGATCAATTGGTCGCTCCACAGTATCGTGAAAGGCTGTTTTAGTTTTTGCACGACCAAACCAGTGTTCCTTTGTTGTGAAACTTAGCAAAGCAAACTGCGCGAGAGCAGGTGCCTCGACATGAGTGACTAATGGATGCAAGAGAAAGATGGAAGTGGTGGAAGGGTCAAGTTGAAAGAGTCAGTGGATCAATGAGATTGGCCCCCCCATCAGCCCCACACCAAACAGAAGGAATTTCAATCCACCTGTCTACCTGAGTCACCTTCTAAAGCAACCCCATTCGGCTGTGGGTCAAAACCTGGATGTCTTGGCTGGCCTGAAAGGTCAAGCTACATGGTGGACCGGGTCTCAGGTTTTGACCCATCCCCATTTCTTTCCAAAAGCACCTCATGTCCATGCTGCGCGGCCCAGTGCAAACCTCGCCGCTGCCCAGCATCTGGCCGGTCTACAGCCTACAGCAATGCGCCGGTATGCTCTAGTGGCCGAGTCCAATCCCCGGGCGGGCCACAGTCAGGGCATGAGCTAGGCAGTAGGGTGCGGACCGTTCAAAACTCAACATATGTATGTACGTACGTTGGTGTATATATATATATATGCATATATTAATACATATGGAAGCATATATATATATGCATATTGTATTCTTTCCTATTTACCCACAATGTGCGGATTTGCTTCTGCAAGTTGTGACGTTTCGAGACAAATCTAGCAATTGGCATGCTTATGACTTATTTGTGCTTGTGACTGTGCCGTCTGGCCCGCTACCGTTGACGTCGTTCCAATGGCCTTGTATAGCAGCAGGCCTGAGAAACACTTGGGAGATGACCCCCGGAGATGCCACCAAACTTAGCAATCCATCTAGCAAGTAAAGCATGGATGCAAAGGTCAGCTCGACTTCAAAATGGCAGCAGAGTCATCAAAATTGACCAGTGCATCAAAGTTGAACATGATCTGCTTGAATCAACACTATTCACTCGCTATTCATCAATTCCGCTAGATTGAGCTGTCTTTGTCATAGCTTTGCGCCGAGTTGCTCTGCACTACCTCCAAATGGCCACGATAGCCTGAGCAGTCTTTTGCAAACCAGGTCGCCCAGCGTCAAAGGACATATTCGTGCGACATCGTGCGACTAGCTTCAGTCTTGCCACATCCCCGACCTTCCCTATGTGCTCATGGGGCTCTGAGCGCAGGACAGGCGTGGGATAGGGCCTTGCTCGCAAAAACGTTTGGATGACGTGATTCTGCTGGAATCCAGTTTCATCAACACAGGATCGATGAAATGTCAAATCCCGGTCATCGATGTGCAAGCAGAGCCCCTCTGTCCCAGTGACCAAACGGTTGCCAGTCCACTGCCAAAGGACTCAGCATGAAGCACTGCGCAGTCCACTTTTCCACGGTGAAACGCCAACGGAGCGGCCCCATGTTTGCTGGCCCAATTTGCAGCATGCGCTACGGTTGATGAACTTGCGACCCCGACGAATTTGTGAATCTAAGAAAGGAGGCTCCCATGACCTGCAGATTTGGTCCATCAACCCCTCAAGTGTTGCAACAAGAACCTCCTCCACTTGAAGTCACATTAGAATTGCCTTTTCCATGCCCATTGCAGTATAGCGATCTGCGGAGAAGGATGAGACCAAACGCAAAAATCAACCACGCATTCATATGCCGTGGCCCTTCCAGCACGAAGAAGATTCCTTCGGCGTTTTCACGAAATGTGGCTCTTCAGGAAACGGTCTGGCCAGGCTATGAACTCTTCTTTGTGCCAGTGAAGGTGCTGAAAGCTCCTGCATCAGCAAATTGAAGACAAGAATCTGGAGAGGTTGTGGGAAAAAAAACGCCTAATGATCTCTGTGATTTAGTGACTGTTTGTATCCTAGCATTGCATTCCATCAAATGGTGTTTGATACATCATCGACACATGCGCCGTACCAAAACCATGCAAAACGCTGCTCCCGAACCGGAAAACGAGTGACACACATCGCGCTCTTCCACCATTGAGCCCACTGTCCTTCCACAACCTTAGCCTCAGATAAACTCATTTTGGCCGTTCCGTTGAAGCCCAAGAGTTAAGCAAAGGGCACCAGGTCCGAAGACAGGGCAACTCCGTAAGTACAACTCAAGCCCTCTAGAAATGCTAGATGTCGTGCATTTCCAGGGCCAGGTTCCCACCCAGAAAATTGCAGCTTGCCGGTTGAAACCGGAAACGGCATGTAACGCACGAAGCCAGGTTCAAGGCCAAGAGGCTCCCCAGAAAAGGTTCATGACCTGAGGGTTTCCCAAGCACAGAGTTGCTGCAACGATAAATCCAAGGAACATCTCGCCAAAAAGGAAACGTGACAATGGAGTTTGAGAAGAAAAGAGGGGTACTAGTAGAGACTAGCACCTTCAACAAATCATGTCAAGCCACGTGTGGCAAAACCAAGGATCGACAACAGAGCGAGGCCAACCGATGAATCCCACCTTCAGCCTGTCGCGCCAACCCTCGTCCGTGGACCCGATTCGAAACACAAATTCTCACAACTGTCCTCTGCAAACAATGGAGGATCAGCGAAGATGATTTTGAGCATCTAGGTTTGGATCGGCCCCCAAATGATCAAAACAGAGCACGGTGCTGCGACATGAGACTACCAGTAAGTCTTGCACGTTCTTATGTTATTAATACGGATCATTGCATGTGTGTGTGTCACACCCTCTACCCAAGGGTACTTGTGGTACAGTTTCAGCAGGGGGCTGGAGTGTGCCTCAGATGTCTCCAGCCAACGAAGACGCATCTGTTGCACTGTGATATAGTTCTGGGACGTCAGAACTACGTACCTGCCTTCTCACTCCGGTGGTTTAAACAATACTGTTTTCTGACCCATTCACCTTTCGGTTGAGCATATGGCCCAGGTTTCAGTGCTCTAAGCCGGTAATGTAGTCACTAGAGTGGAACTTCACAACCGATTTCGCTCTTGCAAGAAGTGCCGTCCCACCGCGGTGCACTGTGCGAACCCGTTTAGCACAGGCCCTCAAGGGAGATCATTCTAACAGATTTTTTGTTCCTGCGTGACTCCTCCCGGCTTTTCTGCATTTGCTCAAGATTGCTGATCATATGCCGCAGAGCTTACTGTTTCTGACCTCAGAATGACACGCCATGTGGGTTACTGCGTTTAGGAGTTCCAATTTTTGATTCAATTGAGTAATTCATGCATCGGTCTTGCTTTCTCTTCTTCACGACCCGGGCGAAACCCCCCCCCTCTGCTTTCGTTCTCTCCTCTCCTGCTTTCCGTTTCTCTTTCTAGGCCTTTCTCCCTTCTAGAGGCTTTAGGTTGGTAATCAATTTTTTTAGTCAAGTGCCTGCCACGCGCGTTCCGATCTTAGGAATTGGTTTCCTTCTTTTTGTTTTGTGCTTCAGAGGCTTAGTTGTAAAGCAGACTTTTTTACTTTGCGTGCGCCCATACCAACTCGGTGTGCGTGTGTGTCTGTGTGTGTGTGCGCGCAAAGCCCGTGGGGCCACAGGGAGCCCTCTGTTTTTTTCAGCAGGGGGCACGGAGATTGACTTCCTATCCGTGCCAACGAAGCTACAGAAATCAGTTGGAAGAGAGTTGGGACGCCAACTCTTGCACCTGCACTTCGATCTCGTTGCGATTTCCAACGGGGGTTTGTCTATGTTCCCCCTGCTCGGGAACAGAGGTGTCCACAGCGGACGGAGTAGGCTTATGCCATAGCTTCGCCAAGACGTGATGAACTCTTGCAACTGAGTAGGTGTCCACAGCGGACCCAAGCTGCCCGCCTTTTTGGCATGGCACAAGGTGACCAGAGCGGTCAAAGCTTTTCAAGGTCCATTGGGACCTGCTGGAGCCTTAAATGCACGCACAGCACGTACATTTCAAACCAGGCTAGGTCTACCTAGGTTGCTTTAATGAGGTTTGGTTTCATCGGCTCCCGGCGCACACTTTCCTTCCTTACTTCATTTCATGTCTTTCCCCTGGCTTCATGTCCCGTCATCTCACTCCGCTCTTTCTTTTGCGTGCACAGTGGTCCGGCCCTTAGCATGCACGCGCACATCTACTTTTAACCCAGGTTGGAGGTCGCCCAGGTCTTGACAATGAGGTGGGGTTCACTGTTTCTGGTCATTTGGTTTCCGCTTTATCGCAGCCACATGCACCTTCGTCCTGCCGTGTCCCCTTTTCATGGCTTCATCTTCTTGTCCTTTTTGCGCGCGCACACGCAAATCAGTGAATCCTTTAGTTTTTGGGCCCCCCCTCGCCACGCCGGGGGGGCGTGTGTATAAAACCCTTGGGGCTACAGGGAATCCGTTGATTTTTTCAACAGGGGGCACGGAGACTGATTTCCTATCCTTGCCAACGAAGCTACGCTTTAGATGGCCAGGCTTTGAGGTCGGCAGACTTTGCACGTTACGTCGATCGCTTTTCGTGTCCTCGAGCTTTGGAACTTGGAGGCGTTCACGATTTGATCATATTGTGTGTTGAGGGTGATCAGACCGCCTTTACACACACTTATCCTGTCCCTTAGGTTTCCTACTTAGGCTGGCGTGTGGCAAACCGCGAATCGTATCAGCACGCAATATCTCGAGTGTGTGTGTGTATTGGTGTCACACCCTGTATCCAAGGGTAATTGTGCAGTTTCAGCAGGGGGCTGGAGTGTGCTTCAGATGTCTCCAGCCAACGAAGACGCATCTGTTGCACTGTGATATAGTTCTGGGACGTCAGAACTACGTACCTGCCTTCTCACTCCGGTGATTTAAACAATATTGTTTTCTGACCCATTCGCCTTTCGGTTGTTAATATGGCCATTGACAGGTCCAGGTTTCAGCGCTCTAAACCGGTAATGTAATCTCTAGAGTGGAACTTCACAATCAATTTCGCTCTTGCGAGCATGTATCTAAGTGTGTTTGATTGTGTCATTGTGTATATCATTGTGTCCTGGAACATGCTCGACTGCTACCGGCACAGGTGCAAACTCTGCTTTCCCCCATTGTCAGTGGCTGCTTCGCTGCGAATCCTCTGCGCCTCCAAGACTGTTGCAGACCACGGTGGTACCCAATACATGGCGATCACTTGCGGAACTGCTCCAAGCAACCTGACGGGGCAACAGAGCTCTCTCCACTCTTCAGTTTGGAGTTCTTGCCCCGATGTCATCACAGGGACTGAGCCCCTAGTATCAAGATGATAGACCCTGGCTCTTGCAAAAATGTTCCAATCCAAGGGTAAGAACGTGAACCATGACACAATTGAAACAAACAGGGAACCTGTGAAAATACATAAACGTTTGACCAACATGGCACAGGACTGTGCGATAGTAATGTAAAAGCAGTTGGACAATGCCACCTTGTGTGCCTTCCCCATGGTCCCCACGTCCTTTTTGGGCCCCATGCTTTGTGAGGACCAATACATTGCATCTTAGTATCATCTTCACTGGAGCATCCTGGTATCTACCAACTTATATATTGCATCTATTCTATATACATGTGTGTACAGTGGGTGATGGTAAATGGGGGGCAAAACCAAAAACAGTATATTTAATCGCGACTCACAATCGTTGGGGACGGAATGCCTGCAATCCAAAAGCACGCATGACAAACAGGATCCCTGCCTCAATGCGATAAATAGGCAAGTAAATAGGAGGCCAGTCACCACATACAAGCTGCTCCTGGAGAACAAACAGTTTGGCACGATAGTCAAATCATCTTAAACCAGACTCCTCTCTCGCGCAACTTGACTGCAAATGGACTCGAAGCCCCGTGACTAGGACTAGGAGCACCTAGACGTGGTTCAGCATACCATCCATCCATTTTGCTGCCAAGCTGCTTCTTATAGCCAGCTGCATTGATGAGCCAAAGAAGCGTCAGCAAGAGACTAGTGCTTTCGTAGGACAGCATAATGATCACCTCAGTGACGGAACCAAACACAGAACACACCGGGGTTGAGCCCAATCTTAAAATTGTCTTCAAAGACATGTCAAATCAAACAGCCAAAATGTTGGATGTTTGCTGAATGCGCTAGTGTCAGTAAAGTAAACCGTGTCGTAGTTGAGGTAAAAAGCATCTGAACTAGCTTGATATATTATGAACTGAGAGCTGTTAGATTCTTGTGCCCTTTGGTCATGAGCTCCTCTTCACAGGATCCCTAAGGTCGATCCTTACATGGTCTGCCCTGTGTTGCTCCATCCTTGAAATGCATATCAAGGGGCGCACGTGGTGCGCGGCT